TATTTTTTGAAATGCACAATTTGATTTCATTTTACTTTTATCCTGTTTAGTTTAAACATATTTTATTGACAAATATCAAAAGGATTGAGCACAAGTTTCAAAAACTTAGAAAAGCCCTTTCCATACATAGAAATGATAGACATTATTTAATACTAACAAGATTTCGAAATAGTATATACAATAATAAATAATTTATAAGTAATATAAGTAAAGTCAGATGAATTATATCTCAAAGTTCTATATAAAATAAGTGAAGAGGTGATAAAGAGAATATAAAATTATATTTAAAACATTGAAAAATAAAGTTTAATAAATGGGATATAAATGAACTGATGCATGTATAAAATGATAAAAAGAAATAATAATAAAAAAAAAAAAAAAATGGGGGGTGGGGGGTGCGGAGAAGTTATCCACCAAAAAAGCTAAAGCTAATAATTTATTCTAAGATGTAACTACTAACAATAACTTTTATTTAAATTTAAATCGTTTTGAAAGTTTGATATATTTGTGAACTTCAAGGAAAAGGTTTGTATTCATCTCAATTGACAATTCTGAATTGCCGCACAATAGGATATCTATATTTATCACAGAATAACTTGACAATGTATTTAATAGTTCAGCACGAATTACATCATATAAGTGACAATGCAGGAAATAGTGTTCGGCATTTTCTATAAATTTGCCACAAGAACATGTGGGATCATTCACAACGTTTATTTCATACAAATCATTTTACAACGAACTACACCCATGCCGTATTCTAGTGTGAATAATATTTTCATGTCTATTACCTTTACAGTAGTAGATTGGCGCTTTATGTATTAAGGAACGTAATTTTTGTTTGTATAGATATTTGAAGGATTTAAGAGTGGTTGATTGCTTTATGGGGTCCTCTAATAATTCCCAATCTCGAATTGTTGTGGGGAAGTACGAAGTTTGGTGTAATACTGTTCTACAATAAGGATATCTATATTCGCTAATGTTTCTTAAATTGTATTTTTGTGGTGTTTGTTGATAATATTCTAGAATGTCATATAAGTATGCTGGGTTTCTCTGATTTTTAATTTGAAAAAATGTGGTTAGTCGCTTTTGTGTACGTCTGTCTGACAATTTATTCCATCCGGTTTCAAAATAAAGCGCTTCACGAGAACAAGTTTTAGTTAGTCCAGTCACAATCCTGGCAGCTTCTAGCTGTACCTTTTCAAGTTTTTCGGTATTGGAAACGTTAGACCCATCCCACACTTCACATGCGTATTCCAATTTTGGCCTTATGAATATCAAATATACGTTATTTAGAGTTTGTCTATTAAAGGTGAATTTTAGTTTACGCAAAATATTTAATAATTGAGGTGATGCCTTAGTACCCGACTGTTCATATCCCGTGCAACTTTTGATATAAGCTGATATGGAATTATTTTAGAAGCGAAATGAAATGAAATGGGGATTAACGTCTTCCTGTTTTGCGCCAACTGGGCTAATGAAGATGGGCATATTACAGTGTGCTATGAGGGGAATTTTGCCTGTTCTTTCCGTTTCCACTCAAACTGGAGTTTTAAATCACAACTCCTAAAATCGCAACAGAAAATGACAGCCTGACATACCGTTCAGAAGATTTTGAGCTTTTTCCGTTTCCATTCAAAATTGAGTTTTAAATCACAACTTCTAAGATGGCAATAGCAAATGGCAGCGTGACATGCCGTTTAGAAGACTTTAAGCTTTTTCCGTTTCAACTCAAACTGTTTATCTTTCTATTTCTTTTAACAGAGGAACTATTTTTCTTCAATTCACTCCTACTCGTTTTAAGTGTCTTCTCTGCAATTCGTTTACTAGAAATGCCTGAGAGCTTCTACAAGTGTAATTCAAGTACCAGTATAATTTTATGTGAAGTAATGATTTTAGTTAAGTATATCTTTTACTACAATAGAATGACGAAATGAACTGAAATAGTATACCTTAGCTCCGTTGTCAAAAGAGATACTCGACACAAACTAGGTCATTTCGGGACTAACATATGGTTCAGTTTTATTTCAATAATTCCTTGCGGGTAGAGGTATTTCGCAGTTGGAAGAAACCGAAGGATCCAGAGAAACCCACGAGGTTTGACAGGCAACCCTACTCCTTGTCACGTACAAGCGGGAAATGGAAACCACACCACCTGACGCACTAGACCCCCACCCAAACCCACCCCACCACAGACCCCCACCCAAACCCACCCACCACAGAAGCCGTCTATTTAGCTCATTTGGTACATACGTTAAGCCCGATTTCATTTCAATCCCTTTATAACGTAAAAACCGACATGAATCCGGGGTGGTTGTGTCTATTATAGTTACTTGGAACAGATCAATACATTAACCAATGATATATTGAGCCCGCTACAGTCAGTAGCTGTTACACACAACCCGAAGCTGGAACACATTGACTGATCTACGAACAACTTGTCTCCTTAATGCATGCTACAGATGATTTGTAGTGGCTTACTTAAACAACTCGCTAATATATCTCTTCTTAACTCTCAACCTAACTAGCATGCATCGATATGTACATGTTCGTGACGTTTCCCAAGGCTTCACGACAAATCATGATAGTGGCTAAATGGCTAAGTAGCTGTGGTTAAACGTGTGCTGCCAATGATTATGACATCACGAGCAACGGGGAGATAGAGGGCTGTGTTATTTACAAATAAACACACTAAAGCAATTTCCTTTGTTCTTGGAATGATCTTTACTTTCTGGCACAGGTTATTCGAAACTTTATAATGGCTGCTTAGGTGGGAATCCAAATTGTTATAGGGATTGGTTAAAGGAGACAAGTCTAAAGCGTATATATACGAGCGTATTCTGGTTGGGGGATTATTCTAAACTTTATAGAACTTCGTGGGAATTTTAATTTTATAGAGATTGGTTAGGAGGCAATTTTAAACCTTATAGAACTTGATTGGGAGGCAATTCTAAACTTTATAGAAATTGGTTTGGAGGGAATGCTAAATATTATAGCGATTGGCTGGGGGGAATTATAAATTCTATAGAGCTTGGTTAGGAGGGAATTCTAAACCTACAGAGCCTTGGTTAGGGGGGAATTCTAAATTGTATAGAATTTGGTTAGGAGGGAATTATAAAGTTGATATATATATAGAATTGTTAGGAGATAATTCTAAACATCAATAATTCATGATTATGAAGGAATTATAAAGTTTATAATGTATGATCGGGAGAGAATGTATTCTATTTTTTATTTTAAAAAATAAACATTGGTTAGCATGGTATTCTAATTATGTATAAAAGTTGGTTAGATATTGTAAATATATTATAATGCATACGTGGTAAGGGAAGAAACCTAAACTATGGTTAAGAGATATTTCTAATCTTTATAAAGCTTTGTTAGGATAGAATTCAGCTGTAATTAAACGGTATTTCTGAGAAATCTCTATGTCGCTTACTACTTCCTGCATTCTGTTATCCGGTGTATCATTCCATAACATAACCGAGGACTTAATACTTCTCTTCTACATAAAGCCCGTCGGAACTGGACGCTTTTTGTCTAAGTTGTAAGTAAAATATATTTTGTTTTAAATGGTACAGCTCAAATAAACTCCACGTGACATTTTAAGGTCATAATGAACAAGATGCCGCTTGATGCTATTTAATACTTAAATATTAAAGGACGATATATCCTCGGATAATCCATTAGCCCGGATGAAGCAGACAAGTGGGAAGTTAAACTACATTTTATTTCATTTCAAATTCGGATTTGCTTTAAGAAAACCCAATTCCTTAGACAATGATGAATCTAAAAGTCTTTCTGTAATGCACAATTTGATTTCATTTTACTTTTATCCTGTAATGCCTTAGTACCCGACTGTTCATATCCCGTGCAACTTTTGATATAAGCTGATATGGAATTATGTTAGAAGCGAAATGAAATGAAATGGGGTTTAACGTCTTCCTGTTTTGCGCCGACTGGGCTAATGAAGATAGGCATACTACAGTGTGCTATGAGGGGAATTTTGCCTGTACAGCGGCGCTACGGCCTACTCTTATATCGAATTCCAACTGCCAATGGACCCTTTACATGCATACAATGCGTACACGAGATCTCGTCTTTTCGTTCCATCCGAAGGACTATGCGTTGTCCCTTGCCAGGTCGTCTCTCCTGCACCACTGCCAAGCGGGAACCACACCGGCAAATCCTAATGAACATTCTCGGCCAATGAAGGGGTCGAACACAGGACCTTCAGGTTAGCGAGCCAACGTCTTACTTACTTAGCCACGTAATGTTAGAAAGTAATTTAGATTACAGCGTATGTCAAAAACAAGAAACGAAATATTGAACTAAATTATTAATTAAATTTAATGTGCTTTACAAATGAAAAGACGGGTCTGACACCCCCACCATCCCTGTTCTCAAGAATTATCACGCGTTTTAAAAATTGTAATCTAATTTGAGTATGATGTTTTTGGGGAGGCAGGTAGCGTACGCCCTATAATAAGACCTGCTTTCCATGCAAATAAGGTCCCTACGGCCAAGCGAATTATTAAAATAATATAAAATATATGCTTTAATCCATAAATGAGTGGATGTTAATCCCCATATCTTTCTCCTTTTATTCTTACTAGGTATTACTCGAGACAAAAACAACACTTTTTTTATATGGGTGTAATATTGATAGGCTTGGGTCATTCATGTTAAAGGGTTAGCTAATTACTTTATCGGTTTAACTGGAACAGTAGCCGTAGAATTTCTAGTAGAAATTATCCCTGTTGTAATCGATGTTTATTACTTTAATAAAGGGGTCTGGAATACATACCGCGCTAAGCAACAGCTTGGATGCACAGGAATGTTAACTGCGGGCCGAGATCGGTAGCTCGGGTATAAATTCCTTCCAAGTTTGAATATTTCTTGCAATTGTAACTGTCGGTGGTTAAAATAGCGTAATGATAAAATACCACGTTATAAAAGCCATAATCAGATATACGGTGAGACTATCGCATCAACTTTCTATTCGTTTTCTACAGTTTTAACAATGGGCACGACGTTCGCTTCATTCAGCGCAAAATTATACGAGCACCATTGTCAGTGATCTGACACTATGGGAATGATTCCTGTGATTGACTGACGTTGATATTACCTTCATCGGTCGTCGATAAGAGCCAATCATCGAGGGTTTTAGATCGAATACGGAAACCGAGGTTTTGTTGCCATCCGCCCAGTCAATGATAATTACCTACTCCCTGAATGGATAGTTTTCACATATATACCGTGCTTGTACTACGAGCGATCACACACACAGTGGACAATCGAACTGTTACTTTTGGATATAAGTAAGCCTCCACTGACTAAAGTTTTCATCCTTCTCCAGTCGTTACTGTACTTAAACAAGGTAAGACTATTATATATTTTTATACGCACTATCCACATATATCATTAGTGTTAAATGCACCATTCTGTAATCTACCACTGACACAGGGTTTATCGTCCACTTCTTCTTAACATGGTAAAATACCAAACAATGTTCCAAGCATTAATGAAACTGACCAGTTGTTTAAAACCGATGCAGTACGATACCATATCAGTTGGACAGGCGGACACGCATCAAGCGAATAATTAAGATCAGTATCAGGATTAAGGATTTACTATGGATTAAAACATCTATGAATAAACCCGTTTGAGAACTACAATACCATATTGTCATCTCTTTGTAAAGATGTTTACCTAAATCCATCGTCATACCATGGAAATACCAACAAACGAAAAACAAAATCACCGAACCCAGCAACGAAACAAACCGAAAACGCCCCCCCCCCCCTCAAAAACAAAGAAAAAAATAACAAAACAACGTAAATAAAAAAATCAAAACAACCCACAACACTCGTTAAGCATGCTTTTATACTTTTTAATACATCTCAGTCAATTAATTTATTGTATAGAAATTATTTTTATTCAATAGTTGTCTGGAGGACTTCTCAGGTCCTTAAGGCGCCTTTCACCTTAATTTAATTTCGATGGGCAATAATGTCGAGTTCAATGTTAATTTCAAAAGTGGTTTGAAGTGTTAAATTGAGCTAACCCCCCAAAATTTATGATATATGTATTTATGATTAATATAAAATTATCTATGTTATTGATGGAGATTAAGCTTGTGAAACTGACAAAATCTGGGGTGCACATACAATGGAATGCATACAATTGTATCTTGAACAGATGGAATTCGAAGATAAATTATTGGAGGAACGGACACTGCCCAAGCAAAAGCGCCATCTTCGCATTGCAAACTGAAAGTAACCATAAGCTGGTCATAATAAAATCGAGGTTTCACGGTCTCGTCAAAACAATCAATACAAACGTAATTTAATTATTAATAATATGGTTGCGTATGAAACATCTCTTTTAAGTGAACAACTCCACATGGATGAACTTTAAGTTTTCGTTGCCTTTGAACGTCTCAACAAACTTTCTTGGTCGGTCCGACGGGCACCAGCGTTGACAAGTGAAAACCGGACTTCAAATATTTGCCGAGATTAGAACCCGAGTTGTTGTTGTTGTTCTTAGTGTTTAAAGTCCGCTTCCACCGAAGGTGATATCACAGACAAGTCTTATTTTTCATTTTCATTATCTCAGCGCACGCACAGGGGTCTTTCCTGTGGGAGGAAACCGGAGTACCCGGAGTAAACCCACGAGGTTGAGAAGGCGCCCCTATCTCCAAGTGACATAGCCAGAGGTGACCGGTCCGCTAGAGGTCGACGCGCGCCACTCTAGACCACTAGGCCATCCCAACCCCCCATTCCATATGAAGTCCGTATCGCCCTATTTTATTTTACAAATCAATAAAAAAGTTGTTAATCTTCAACAGCAGACGCGATTAAAAAAAATACAATTTTATAAACACGTTATAAATTATTTATTCGACCGTACTTGGTTGTAATATAGCTTTATTTATTTCACAATGGAAAACATGCACCATTGGTTTTATTCAATTAAAACACACTGAAATATAAGTAGATGTTATCCAATATACGAGATGGGACAAATGAATAAATAATACACTTGCAATAGATTTATATGAGTGTGATGCAGGTTATTGAGATTAATATTATCACCAACAGTTTCTGATTGTCGGGTGGAGGGGTCGGTGGGTGCTTGAAGAGCACATAAACACGGCACCATCACATAAATATACCGAATAATTTTAAATTAGATAAAAAAATCATATACGAAAGAAACAAAATCATAAAGAAATGAGATTCGATGTATAACATATATGTCGTAACTTTTAAAAATTGTGCTCAGGAAGAATGCCGTCTCTCTGCCACCCTCTGCACCTCTATAACACTGGTAGCGGATATTTTTATTGCCGCTTTGATTCTTATGGTTTTCTACTTGAATTATTAATACAATTGTGTCGAGAGCTGCACATAACATACTACCGTGTACTATACATGGGTATAGATTAATTGATGCAGAATACAAGTCGGGTCGTTGGGAAGGGACGAACATCCCAAAACACGTGTTTACTAATCACAGCACGTAAGATTGTCCTCAAAGCACATTGCATGACGTATGTTTGTGCTTTGTTTGAGCACAAATATAAATTTGAGAAAGTTATTCAATAACCTTTGATATTTTGATACAGATATTTCAACTGGTTCCTCGTGACCACATTAGTCAATGTAAAAGAATCCCTGACAGGTGAAATTCGAAAGCGCCCGTCTTTCCGCCCGTCTTTATTATCGAATCCAATAGAACTTTTCGTAACTCGTCTATCTGTTTATAGAAAGAAAGAGTAAAAACTGTTTATAAGATAGTAATTGTATAGATTATGTAATATTCTAGTTGATGTTATATCAAGATAACGGTAAATCCACATTACAGTATAACGAGAATAACTTTTTATCAGTAGGACGTTAAACTCCATTTTATTTCATTATAACTTGTATCAAGGGCGGTGTCTGGGGGTGGGGAGAGGGTGGGACTGGGCAGTGAAAGACAGTTTACCCCTAAACTAATTGCCCCTTTTTATCTACACGTGTTTCAAATAATGAAATATTTACTGAATATCTCTCTAATAATAGTCCCTGTGAGGTGAGCCAAAGCCCTTAACGTAGTATTCCGGTCTTCCCTCCCGTCCACCCAGTGCCGGACTGGGCCCACCTGTCCACCTGTCCGTGACAGGTGAGCCTAAGCTTATTAAAAAAAAGTGGACCTAAGCCTATAAAGAAAAAAGAGAAAGAAAAAAAGGAAAAAAGAAAAGAGAAAGAAAGGAGAAGGGGAGGAAAGAAAAGAAAGAAGGAAGGAAGAAGAGGACAGGACACAGGCTGTGTCCTGTCCTCTCCTTCCTTCTTTCCTAATGATAGTGCTCTTAGATCATTATGTTATCCAATTGTATCAGGAAACCAAAAATTTGCCTTCTTCTGCTTTGGTCTGAAATGCTTGGAAAATGGGTTTGCGGTTGTCAATTTTCAAAGTTTTCCTGATGAGAGCCCCCCCCCCCCCAAGACTCTCGCGCGCCTTCGACCCACCAGTCCGACACTGCGTCCACCCCTCACCGTCGGGCCATTTTCTATTTAGATCTTGGATGGTATATAGTGTGTACTTATGGATCTATCAGGGAATTATATATTGGTATTTTATATGCTCAAAATGTGTTGACATGCAATAATTATCAGCCTTATATTGGATCTATATTTAGGCAAATGTGTATTTATAGTTTTACAGCAGTAAAAGTATTCTAATAAAGATCACCATTAATAAAATTATTCTTCATTGACTAAATCATTTATACATGCAGAATCATTATCGTTAAGTCTGCATCAACCGGTATAAGTGCGTTGGGCATATCCCATGCAGTCTGCTACGAGGGCAATATTGTCCTGTAAACGACATTTCCACTCGAATTCCAAAAGTTCAAATGTCGATTTTTCGTCACATCCGAACTACCAAGCACACTTAATTCTACGTTAGAATGTTCTCAACATCATAAACTATAGATTTGATCAACTGAAAATTTGACTCCGATTCATTTCAAATTCAACCTGTCTTATATTTCCTTTCTGAGCAGCCTATATGTTAATGTCTTCACATGTCACATGATTTCTGAGGTGTTTACACGTGACTTAAGGGACAAAGCGATCAGCTCCTGCAGTCCGAACCCCCATGGGACACCTCGACATTAATGTATTTGATACCCAGATTTAGGATTTAGTGAATCACATATGCGCGGAAATGCACACACACGAGTGAACAATGTGCTGCGATATCGCCACCCCGGGAGCATACGCTAATCCACCAACTATACTTTTATTACTAAAGAACAAAAAATGTCATTTTCGTCAGTTACTATGTCATGTCATGTCATGTCATGGGTTGTTGAAGTATCAATAATTCGAATTCCATATGTTGACCTTGTTGCCGGGTTATTAGATAAACTCAAAGTAACAAAATAACTACTAGATTCTAGACGGTTTATATAAACAATGTCTTGTTAAACACTTATGTCACTCATGTATATTGTGGTGGGGGGCGGAATGCATAACGCGTGCTTCATAAGGTCTGTCATGCTTGTACTTGACAAGGAATAGGTTCGCCTGTCGAACCTCGTGGGTTTTCTCCAGGTCCTCCGGTTTCCTCCCACTGCTAAAGACCCCTACGCGCAAGCGAATTTATGAAATAAATTTGAACTATATGTTAGTCTCGAAATGACTAAGTTTGTGTCGAGTGGACGTTAAACCTTATCCCCCTCTCCCCCCTCTCCCCCCCCCACCTCTCCCTCTCTCTCACATGTATATTGTGTATCAACGTTCGTTCCTGGTTTGTTTCCGAGCCACTGAGATCCCGGATTTTATGCTGATGTTGGTTGAGACAGTCCCCCAGGAATTCCCAACAGCGTCTAATCGTTCGGGTCGTATGAAATACAGTATACTTGTTGGCATGCATATACCAGGGTCCTGTTTCACGAAATTTTAACTAAAGATAAAATCCAAATTTTAGTAGATACTTCAATTTTGATTGGCTAAGCACTACAATCGGTCTAATATTTTCCAATCAAATTAGTTATCCAAACAGGCCCCAGAACCCTAGGTTGTGTGAACTTTGCGGAATGTCGACGGAAAGTGGTCTAACCCTAAGGTCCTTCAATAGGCGCGATGTCGATCCCAAACAACATTTTCGTTCCTTGCTCAAGACCCATATGCGCAAGTTCAGTTATGAATTACAGTGGACGTTCCTTAAATAAACAGAAGTATACAAGGTATGATAAATATACCGTGTATGTAAATAGTAACCAATATATTTCTTCTGTATATTCTACGTAGCAATTGTTATCAAATCGTGCACGAGTCTGTCGTTGATTCATAAAAAAATGAATTGTTCGACTTTCGCAATTTC